CTATCAGCACTCCATCAATAAAAACTGAAGATCTGGTTCTACTAGCAGCTGTACGTGCCTTAACATTGTCTCCACTATATTTTACAGATAATTTGTTACACATGGATAATTAGCCCTTCCTTTCATTTTCCATGCTTTTCTCTTCACATCATCCAAGTTAAACCTCGGTTTAAAATTCTTCTATCTCATTGATAAGTCTGTTTTATTTTTCAGCCTAATGATGGTCTTTTCACATCCAATGACACCTGTCCGATCTGCATTTTAAGAGTTCTCAGGAACAACTACCAAATGCAAATTCTACACTTAAACTTTCAAACTTTTATCCCCTAATTTGTCATAAGATAAAGGAAAACAGCTTATGTGATATTACTTTTGAGCATTTAAAAAGAGAGGGGATGTGTAAAAAATGTGTTTATTATTTTTTTTAAACCCCTTTAATTAAATCCGAAATTCAATACTCAATTATACCTTGATTGCTTAATTTTCAATACAATGCGGTCATGTAGACAGGCAAAATTTAAAAACAAGTCTTATTGTCCAAATACTAGACTAGACCTAACTATATATTCGAAAATATATTCACACAGGATGGCCTTCAGGATCTTATTCTAATTGTTTTTATTTTGACAAATAAACTATTATGTTACAGTTTTAAAATGAAAGGAACCCCTCATTAAATACATGTCTAAAAAAACTTCTATTATTGTTTAGAAAAATACTTCGTACACTAAGTCTGGTGGCTTGCCATGTGTGTTTGTGCTCTAAGCCCAATTAGAGGTGGCATAAATTTAACAGGACTATTTTTCAGGAATTCTGCCATAGTTTGAGATCTCACTGATTAATTTGGTCTGTAAAATGTTTTTATAGCCAGCAAAAATAATGGCTACAACGATACGACTGAGGCCCTGATTGTAAAAAACAAAAATGTTTTAGGGGAGCAGACTTGGTGACTGAAGATGGACAATGACACAATTGTACGAAAAATATTTAACACGTTTAAGGTACTCAAAGCAGTTAGTATTGAATTTTTTTTTTTTAAAGCTTCATACATTTTTAGTTTAGCTCTTTATTTGTGCTGGATATTAAGAGCTGGTCCCAAATTCAGCAAATGGTTGGAAACCAAAGCACTGATATGCTCCCACACAAATACAGCTGCTCTTGGTTCTTAACTATCTAATTTATTTTCACTCTTTATTTAACCTTAAGTTATCTGGCACTTTTATAGCTCAGTGTAATAACACTTTATAGCAGGCTCCTTGAGATGTCGGTGTCTGTTTATGTTCTATATCTCTTCACAGTAACAGAAAGGTTCATGTGTAGTAATATAGCTAATGTACAGTAGTTTGTCAAAATGATATGGTCACACAAGAGGCAGCTGCACATTTGTACCTACAAGGTAGTAAAATTATTCGTTTATTTTGCTAGTTTAAAAAAGTTTTACAACAAAATTAAAACAGAACTTGAATTTAATTGTTATTCGATTACTTGTTATCTGAAGCATTTATCTGAAAAGTTGTATTAATATTGATTTACTGATTGATGATCATACATTTGCATGATGTATCTGCAATACATCAAAACTGGAATTATCAAGAATAATTTTTATACAATTGAAGCATTACCTAAAGCTTAGCTAGGGAATTATAATCTTGATACAAATGGAATATTTTAAAACTGTCATGCATAAATCAAAGTCAGTGGTTTCTGTGGGGGTAGAGACTTGGTTAAAAGCTGTACAGTCCCTGGGTGAATGGCGAGTTGCAATGAGGCCCAAAGTGGACCCAGTGTCATTAGAAAAATTTAAGAGTAGCAGATGTATTGTTCATCTGCTGTCATGATTCTTATTACTACCACAGACCCACCAGTTAATTAGCTGGACAGTTTTCAGACAGAAGCAGCTGTGGGCAACATATTGAGAAACGGGGTGTGAGGGAGCAGGCAGCTAGGAAGCGGTATACAGACATAAGAAAATTTGAGATGAGTGCGTGGGGAGGGGGGACGACTGAGAGCTTGAGCACCATCAAAGGTAATATAAACATAATTAACCCCTTAATTATAGTATATGTCTAAGTCTTTATCTGTGTTCCTCAAGCTATTATCATCTACAACCATAAGTCTGGACTAAATTACCTAGCACGATGACGTCCTTAAGGCTAAGAATGAATCAGCCTTGATAACTCTTTCTTTGTTGTGTGTAAGCTACACCTCAGTAACTGACCTCTGAAACCTCTTTCAGGCACGTGTGTCCTCAGCTCTCGTTAGCTGTGTACTACCCCGATAAAGTGGCTGCAGTCACAATACCATTCAAATGTCAAGACCGTAATTTAGAAACTGCATTTCTCTAGAGAGTGCTGGATAATTGGTATTACATTAAATACAACTAAGTAAAACATTATTAGAAAGTATGTGTGCACAATCCATATACCATATACATATATGTTTTTATATATATATGTATACATGCACTTGTATGTATGTGCTTGCAAGGCGTCAAAACATATTTTGCATGCATGTGTCTGAGTTTGGGCAAGCTATGTGTGCGTGTGTGTGAGTGAGGGAGGGAGAACGTGTGTGATGCTCTGTTCTGTATGCCTCAGAGCCTTTGCCAGCTGGAATCAGAAAGGTTGACCTTGGTCATAAATATCTAATCAGTGTTTGCTGTCCATGAAAAAGTTCAATTTATTCCCAACCCAATGGGAAAATGCCTCTCTCAGACCCTCTCCCCTTTTCTAGCAGACAAAAAGAAATGCAACGCTGAGAGGCGGTGAGGGGAACCTTAACCTGGTATGGATGAAGTAGGACAGAGGCTACGCCAGAAAAAAAAAAATAACAATGCTCATCAGCTGCTGATGAGAAGTCATCACCGGGAAGTTACAGATGGACGGCTTTCACAAAGCCTCTCATTGTTTGTTTGGTCTGAAAAGAACTGTGATACGATACAACGAAAAACCTATCACAGACAGCAAAATATTGGATATTATGTGTTTGATACTGTCAAACAGAATAAGTGCCAAACTAAAATTGTTGGCTTAGATACCCGAGCTTCTCATACGTCCTTATTTTGACATTTTCTGAAACAGCAAGACCACTTTCCTTGTCTGATGTACCGCATTAAAATTGGGGTTTTTTACTAAGCAAAGAGTTTTCAGTTATGTGTGTGCACAGTGTGTCAAAGGAGAGAGCCAAATATAAAGTGACACTAGCCTGAGATACATACTAAGTTCATCTCCTATCTCATGAAAGTCTTAGTATGTGCAAACTCACAAATATTTTCAGACAAGACAGTGTGGTAGGTGGGGAGAAAGTACAGGGAAGAAGGAGATAACTCACTGTCTCTCCTACTATTTCACTAAATGAAGCCTGCCATTGTGTCTGGCCTTGTGGCGGCCTCTTAGTGCTCTTATTTGCCTTATTAATATGCATGCTAATGTACCTATTTTATGGCTCAACAGTTCTGATTCACTTTAAAATCAATTATCCATCTGGTACATCCATACCTCGCCCAGGCTCAAATGTGTATTAATTTCAGCAAACATACATCGGCGCAACACAATAAAGATAAATGCCTCGATTAGAGGCAGTAAACAAAGGAGCTAGGGATGGCTTTAATGAGATTTGGCACAAAAGGAGCTTACACTTTCTTAAATAATGAGCCTAGGGTCCCTTTTTCCAAATGCAAATTATATAAAGGAATGTTTCGCTGTCCTTGTTCCAATTTCATTTAGATAAGAGTGTCTCCAAACAAGTTGGCTGTTAATATTCTCACATGAGCACATCACTGCCTTTCTGCCTGCCGTCTCCCAATGGAGGGGAAGAGTGCTCTCCTCTTCGCAGACACATTAGTCTGTAATAAGTTCTGAAAAGTTCACTGTGCTTGTTAAATACTTCTAACAGATGAGATGGAACTGGGAGCGACTTAGATAGAGTTGACAGAAGCACTCAGCCAAACGTATCAACACTTTTACCACAAACAACTGTATAATCACCCCCGTGGAAAGGTCAAGGCTGCAATAACCATGACAGTTAAAGCAACTGTATATAGATAAATGGATAGATAGATAACATAGATAATTAGTTTACTGCCCTCTTCTTTGGTAAGAATAGCTTTGGGCCTCAGTGATTGTTCAGTTTTTGAGAAAATGCAAAACAAGCGACAGCGAAATATGAATATCAGCTTTGAGAGCTGCGGGAGACACAAATGCACCTGCACCTGCTGTGAGAGGGAGGGGCTACGTGCAGCGCAAAATGAGTTTCTTACAATCAGTGATATGTCTCTTTTGCTTCTGAAAAAAAAAATGAAAAAATAAATCTTTAATGTGATTGCAAATCCATTTGGTTACAGACAGACATACAGACACATAGATGGATAGCGGGTGAGTGGGGAGGCAGGGAGGGAGAGAGTGCAATAGTGTTAAATAAAAAGGGCCACAGGCATAGGCTGGATGGTAATGAAGAGGGGTGGGCCAGCAGCTGAGGTCCCTGTAGATGAGATCTCTCTCTGACATGTGTGTCCCCTTCATTACCCATTAAGGGGGGCACAGTGATGAATCCTTAATATGACATTACACCAATTTTCCTCTTCATTTAGCCTGCTAATGTGCTGGTCTGCTCCTATATGCCCAGGGGCTGGCTGTACCACACTCAACCAGAAATAGACCACAGTGGCCACTGGTGGCACACCTTGAAGCAGCCTAATTAGGGGCAGCGCCCACCTAATGGGGCTATCTAGACAAAAGTTTGCATAAGTTGATTTTTTAAGCAGATAGAAATTGGTGACTGAATGGTGTGCACGTCTGGCATTTGGTCTGGATAAAACAAAACATAGTTTTGCCGTAAAAATTGTATGCATCGGCCTTTTTCTTGATTGACCATCACGGGATTGGCAAAATGAGGTAAAAACACCAGAAACAAGTCTTTTGGTTTATCACCAAAAGATCTCATGGAAATATGCCCAAATATTCATGGAGTCCTGTTTAGATATCTGCACAAGTATAACTCACTTAGCATGCCCATCCCCAGCATGAAGGCATCCATGGTGTAGGGCAGACCCCTGGCTCGCCCCCGTGTACCTGGTGGGAACATCACCTCCTTGGGCTGGGCCTTCTTACATTCTACCTATGTAGACAGACAACAAACACACACATACACACACCAAAGCATTAGTCTGTGTTGGTACGCAGCCCGACAGATCTGACAGGGCTGTGTCAGCTCTTTAAGGTGGTTTTCTGTTTGACTTGCACAGTGCTAGATGTTTTCCATAGAGAGAGAAGGGGAAAAAACAGACTGAGCAAATCTGAACACCTCACATTTTAGAGCAAAGTCTCTAAGGAAAACTTACAATCTTCTCCTGCATTAAAGCAAAGGTTATTGCTCCAGTGAGCATGTGCCCAAACCCTCAGGGAAATACAGGCTAAATACTTGAGTTTCCATGAGTTTCTAAAACATAAAGGTAGGAGAAGTTCTGCTCTCCAGACTCCCACAGTGTGGAAGTATGTCCAGACTCTTTCTTTTTTTTTAACAAAAGGACTAATCTTCAAACAAATCCTGTCATTTGACAAATCGTTATTCCTTTGCTATCATTTTTCATTGACCTTAAATGTTTTTGGGGTTTTTTGTTGCAAAAACAGCTTCAAATCCTAAAGCCAAAAAGGGTGTGTTTTGAAACTGAGTAAGGGCTTTGTTTTTCTGTTTGTGTACTGTGCATTTGTGTATTGTTGCTGGGCTGGAGTCCCCAGTGTCCCGCAGTCCAATTCCACCTGCAGCGCTCATCTCTTTCCTGCATTTATTCCTCTCACTTCACTTCTCCCACATACAGGTTTGTTCATTTCCCATCTTGCAAGACTGACATCTCCTCCTCCTACATAACACATATCAAATGAGGGATGTGACAGGGGCAGATGAGAAGAAGAAGGAAGATGAGAGTCCTATTTACCACATATCTATCCTATCTCTATGAATTATAGAGAAGCACAAGCAGCTGACAAGGGTGGCACGGTCTTGTGTCTGTTGGTTGTTCTTTGGTAGGCTGAGTCTGTTCACCATGCTGCACAATCTATTTGCTCCACTGCCTGCTTGGCATCAGCCTGTCCATCTGTTTGTCTGTTTGCCTCCTGGCTCTTGCCTGCTTCTCCCTACTGCCTCCACTTAAACAGGGCTTTCTCGGCTGCTGCGATTCACATGTCATCCTGGCCTGCTGCACAAGACAGGCTACTGCACCAGTCCTGTGCACACCTCAACCAAGGTATAGCCTAGCATCCATACAAATAGGCCTGCGACTCTGACAGGCCAGTGATGCACATTAGTATTCACACACCAGTCATACATGCACAGCGGTAGACACAACATGCTATTTCAAGTTGCCAAACTCAAGGAAAACTTCTGTGCTGAATGCATAGTGTAACAAGCTCTGTACACTGTATCTAGCAGAGAGCGAGACATGTAAAAAAGGGAACACTAATGAAAAAGGTTTCTATCACGGGGGGAAGTTGCTGTGTTGCAGAGCTGTGATTTGTTGCTGTTAGTGGCTCTTTTATTTGAAGCAGACCAACTAAAGTACACAGTTCCCTCAGCCACTTTGTAGCTGTCACAGCTACTCTACCCTTCTTATGTGCCTTGTATGGTTTGACATAGTGCTGAAGAGAGCACAGGCGCTTTTTCCCGTCTGAAAATGACCCGCGGCATGGAAGCAGGAAGCGGGTGGGACAAATGGGCGTGTTAAAATCCCAGCACACTGCTGGGATTTTCAATGTTCACATAGCCGGGTGACAAATACATTCAAGTTCTATCCACACTTTCAAACGCGGCAGCAGCTGATCAGCCTCTTCAAGAAACCCCTGCAACAACTAGCGAGATGGACGCTCAGGTAGTCTGCTGGGAGTAAGACAGAGCCAGGTGTGAGTCATGCCTACATGCTCTCAGATGCGGGTCTTTTGATATTCAGAGTGCGGGCTCCTTGTCATGGATTTAAAACCAGTCAGGGGCCGGGTTCTGTGGTGGTGTGAGTATGTGGGTGTTCACCTGCTTCAGACACACAGGAGGTTGAGAGCAAAGGAGGCAAGAGCTTTTCATAGTCGACTAAATCAAACAGTAAGGAAGAGAAAGGACAGAGAGACAATTCGGAGCCCGGCAACGAAGAACTGCAAAGGTTCAGCAGCCAAGAGAGTAGAGATTCAAATTTCACCATGTGGAAAGACTGAACCTTGTGGCACATTCAGAGTATGAAGGGAACACAGGTCCTTATTTTAACGGGGATCATTTTTCAGAATTATAGCTTGTGTAATTTGTCAAGGACTCTTGCATTTATTGAAGGCTGCACAATATTGTGTTGTGAAAAGTCTCCTGATCCACAATTTAAACACTATCAATGAAGGCGTTTGAGCACCATTGCACCCTGTCGAGAAAAGGGACACACCATTAAACTGCCTTGCCTTCCCTGCCAGAAAAGTTATACCATATTTCTCAGAAACGGCACTCACGAGATCTAACACACACACACACACACACACACACACACACACACACACACACAGTATAAACGCTAAGTAACTAGTAAAGTGGATTCCTGTCACAAAGTGTTGACAAGGTGTGGTTACTTCAACGTGTGTGCTTTCAACATATACTGAAATGTTTCTGCCTTTCATGCACTGATATACCGCAGACGATAGCTTAGCCTTGAGACTTACATCACTGCATACCCAAGATAAAGTCAGAAGGTAACAAGTACGTCTGTGAAGGCAACACTGTAGAGTTGGATGTCTCGAGACCAAGACCGGTCCTGAGACCACTTTTACGTGGTCTTGGTCTTGTCTTGACTTTGGTCTTGGATCCCCCGGTCTTGTCTTGGTCTCGCTGTCTCGGTCTTGCTGTCTCAAATCGACATAGATTTGGAGATTTGGAGTCAACAGTATCCATGACGTACAACGTAACGTTCGATAATGTGTCATGCGCAAAAGCATCAGCTCTAAGAGCCATGCTTAGAGAGTGCTTTGTAGTGAATCAGAAGAGTCGACTCCCATTGAGCGAAAGCTGGCTCCTCACTTGATTTTGTTTCGCTGCACAGCTCTCACACAGTGGCTCAGCTATGCTCCAATCCCTCCATATTGGGGCCAATCACATGCGAGGATATAGGATAATATCATTATGTGAAAAACAGAGGGTGAGAGACACGACTCGCTTACTGACTGTCCTCTCAGTAAGTGAGTGAGACAGTAGACAGCGGTGAGGAGGTCTGTGCAAGTGCATTGCAAAAACACATAAATATGCCTGACACCCGTAAACAAAGCAGCATCTGGCTGCAGTTTAAAGACTTTTTTTTGTCTCGGTCTCGTCTCGACTTTGTCTTGGTCTCAATACCCTCTGGTCTTGGTATTGACTTTGTCTTAGTTTAGGCGGTCTTGACTACAAGTCTACAACACTGATACTAAAACATTTTGTAACAACATATGGCTTGTGTTTGAAGTTTCAATAACATAAAGAATGAGTTAAACCCTTTTTTTTTTGATAAACTGTGCAATAATTAGGCAACTTGTTCTGATGTGATCTAGCCAGTGTTATGCTTCCAGTGGTCTTTTCTGGCTGACCTTGCTTGGGTCACTCGCTACTATTTCCAAGTAGGTCCATGTTTGCCCAGATTTTGCCAAGGTTGAAATCATGTTAACGCTGTGAGCGACACTGCTGTAAAATCGGAATGTTCTGAGATTTATGCAACTTAGCAATGAGTGGAGAAAAAGCTGCTAACTTTGAAGGAAGTATAACTGTCACAAGTCATGGAGTGGAAAATTCCAGTAGCAACTAAGCTAACATTCTACAATGTAAAATGTCATGAGTTATCCTAACAAGAGTAGCATGTCACATGTGTGGCAGAAGTGGCTAGCTAACCACTTTTCTGTTGCTATGAAAGATGTGTAAATCAAAACCTGAAGTTTTTTAAGCCTCCACGTTTTTTCTCCTCCACTTGTCCAGTTTCCTCCAAAATGTATATATTTTTAGGGATATAATTGCTCATCATGCAATGATATAGCAAGTCTTTGGTTAATACCTCTTTAGGAATCATCTTGTTGATGCACCAATGTTATTTTATGCCTGTCAAACTGTGCTATTTTTGGCATTTCATTTCATACAGAAATGGGAAAAAAATTATGTGTTTTTGAGACAGACTGCTAGTAACTATATCTCTAAAGATACAATTTAAAACGTTATTTGCTAAGTTGTCTGTTATGTGTTGATACAGCACTGGTGTATACCTTGCATTAGGTGTTTGTTATACTTGAATGATTCATAGGTAGTAAGTGGCTTGCAAAACAAACAAAATTCTCTGAAAATGATCAAGTACAAGGACTAGACTGAAAACTTTTGAAAAATCTGAAGAAAAGCTTTAAAAGGCCTTCAGAAAGCCTGGAAAACTACTATACAAGACCACTTTAAAAATGTGGCTCCTAGGAATAAACTATAAAGAAAGGCTTGGCTCATGATTTTGCACAATACTGCATGTCCTTAACTAGACCACCCTGACTGTAGAGTGTGTTCCTTTTCAGCAGGAGGAGGGACACCTACCTGACTACGTGTGTTTTCTTATCCAGTTCTAGTTCTTCTCACACTAATAATTAGTTTAATATTTTAAGGAATGAGAATATCCGTATAACCACATTTACACTTTCCAAGAAGGTTAATTAGGATAACTATGCTTGTTAGGTTCCAGTATACATCAACTGTAGACCTTTAATTTTGCCCAAGCAAGCTGTAAGCTACTTCGTTGGAAGCATAAAAGAATCCAAACCCAGAAACCCCAAAAAGCTGTATAATATAAGGAGACAGATCCCATCCCAGCAGACCATCAGTTTGGAAAGTCTAGCATGGTAAAATAACAACAGATATATGTACTAAATTATATTTTGTTTGGGTCCTTTCCCTGGAAAGAATGCTTGTTAAAAAGTCTATAGGGCTACTTGGGATAATTATTTACTTTATTTCTCTATTTTTCAGGGAGAGTGCAGCTTAACAATGATAAGGAAAAAATTGAAAGGATGTAGTGTACATTAGCCAGACCAATTCTGTCCCTGTAAATTCTTTTCCATTTCTTTTTCTAAACTATCCTTGTTCTGCTGTAAAATTAAGAT